AATAAGTAAAATCTCAAAAAAAAAAAAAGAGAGAGAGAATTAGGAGCCTTGTTGGTAATAACCTCAAACTGGAAGCAACCCAAATATACATGGACAGTAGAACAAATAAACAAATGGGTAGAATATAGTGGAATACTATATAGCAATGAAACCAGAATGAAATATACACACAACAGCATGGATGAATCTTAAAGCATGCATAAAAATGAGCAAAATAAGTCAAAAACCATAGAATATGGACTATATGATTCTATCTATATAAAGTTCAAAAGCAGGCAAAGTTAAATTATATTGTTAAGGATGTATAATCATCCTTAAAGAAAATACTTAAAGAAAAGCAAGGAGCCCTGGCTGATGTAGCTCAGTGGACTGAGTGCGGGCTTGTGAACCAAAGGGTCACTGGTTTGATTCCCAATCAGGGCACATGTCTGGGTTGCAGGCCAGGTCCCTGGTGGGGGGCATGCAAGAGGCAACTGCACATTGATGTTTCTCTCCCTCTCTTTCTCCTTCCATTCCCTCCCTCTAAAAATACATAAATGCATAAATAACTAAAAGAAAAGCAAGGAAATGAGTAACATGAAAGTCAGGATAGCAGTTGTACTAACAGGGAGGGAGGGGCTGTGATCTGGCAAAGGATACACTTGGGAGTGGGCTTCTGAGGTGCTGGCAATATTCATTTTACAATTTATTTGTTCTGCTGTACTTATGTTTCTAGCACTTGTCTGTATGCCTGTGATCTTGCAAATATCAATATATGTATGTACATAAACACATTTAAATGGGAGGAGCTTCTGGACTTTGGAACCAAACAAAGAAACTGCTCAGTAGCTGTTTGAGTACATTACTGAAGGGGCAAAACAATAACACAAGACCCCAATTGAAGAAAGAAGATAATGAAACAAAAAAAAAGGGTGAATCTCCCTTTAAGAAAGGAATTAGTTTTTAATAGAAGGGAAACAAACAAACAAACAAAAAAACCCAGTGAAATCTAAAAGACCTTTGTGCAGGTGCTGTGCTATAAAATATTCTCATCTGTGCTGTTAATGAAGCTGGGTTTACAACCCGGTAAACTAAACAAAGAGCTTGTGTCGAGTTGATGAACCTGCTGGAGCTGAAGTCTAGTGTACTTAAGTGACGGTTTTTGCTTTTTCATTTTTCTTCTACCCAATGTAGAAAGATGCTGGCTCTATTGCTGTGGAATTGCTTTATCCCAAGACTGTCTTAACCCATTTGAAAAGCAAACTTCTACCTTTGTGACACTTGTCCCCTACAACTGAGAGAAGTCCCAGAGACACTAATAATGACTTATATATACAGAGTCCCAGTTGGGAACTAAGCACGACTTTCAGCAGATTGTAGTTACTGAAACATTTTGCCATGGCAGCCTTTAAATACTTCCTTACTTTGTGGCATGAGAAGCTGTTCCATTCCAGAGTCATCTCACATTTTCTCTGGTACCGCCCTGGAGTCTCAGTGTTTTCCCGAGGAGCCCTGGATTCTTTTAGTAAAGAACGGTACTTAGAAGCCAAGATCCGGGCTTGCACATTGCTGCGGGTGTGCCATTGTTGGTAGGGCCCCTCGGCAAACAGGCACAGGGAATACACACACACGCACATGCACACACACGCATTTTTTTTATATCTATCTCTATTATACCAAATGCCACGAGTTCACACTGACACTTCGAATTCCAGTCAAACAGCAAAGAGTTCTTTCAGGCCTTCCCCCTTTTTATGTAACTCCCTTCTCCAACACTGAGAAATCTATTTTTAAACATTTTGAATGTAACAAAATTTATAATGTGTGCACTGCTGGTTTTTTTTTTTAAACATTTTTCTCACTCGTATCAGTCTTTGCTCTCCAGGAACTGTCAAAAACTCCAGAGATTGAATTTATTTTACTCACGCAACCAACATATATTTATCAAACAAATACTATGTTGTCAGATAACGTTCTGGGGCTTGGGGATACAGCAGGGAACACAACATCACATTAGGAAAGGAACGTGGGAAGAGAATGATAGATAAAAAGCTAGGAAATGGCAAGCTGGGATCTGAACCCAGACAGCCTGGCTCCAGAATTCATACTTTACCATCTGCCTCTGATTGCTTTTGTAATTGCTCTCTGCCTTCCGCAAACTTTTACAGCTCTCTTGAATCCAATAAAAATGCCTCTGTCAGTTTCTAAATCTACACAATGCATCTTCCACATCAATTTTTCTTATGCTCAGTTTCCACATCTGTGAGAATAAACTAATTTCAACCTGCTGTGAGGATAAATGAAATGATGTGAGATGCCTGGTGCTACTTGTAGACACATCATGGGTATTTCGTGAAGTTAATTCTCCTGTTCTATTCTCAACATAAATGCTACCCTATAAAGTTCTCCCAGAACAAAGACTTTTTTCTCTTCCTCATTCAATCAATAATTTATTCATATAGCCATTTATTCTTTTTTTTTTGAGATTTTATTTATTTATTTTTAGAGAGAGGGGAAGGGAGGGAGAAAAAGAAGGTGGGAAACATTGATGTGAGAGAGAAACATCAATCACTTTTGCTTTTTGTATGAGCCTTGACTGGGGACCAAACCCACAGGCCAGAGATGTGCCCTGACTGGGAATCTTGCCTGAGACCTTTAGCTTTGTGGGTCAATGCCCAACCAACTGAGCCACACTGGTCAGGGCCCATTCATTCTTACATCCATTCAAAAAGCATTTATCAAAAATCCAATATAAGCCAGGCTTTCTGCTACTCATGGGTGTTGAAAACCACCCTGCCTGGTTTCAGAAGCTGTAACCCCCGCCAAGGCTAAGGCTGAGGGAATGACCTTGGACCATAAGCCACCAAGGAGACAAAAGCTTATCTCCCTGGCAGGAGCACCACTTCTGCTCCTTTTACTTCACCCTGCCTGGCCCCCAATGCTTGGCCGGTTAGCCAATGATGGGTAAGATGCCTCAAGGGAGGAATGAACTAAAATAGGCACGATCACCTGGGAGGCCCCCAAGGAAGGACTTGGGATGCTACAGCAAAAGGGGGTGATGGACCCTCGCCCCTCAGCTTTGACATAGCCTGAGTCCTCATTGTCTGCGAGAAAATCTCCTAATCTCTTGGCTGCCTTACTTCCCTTGCTCCACCTAAGCCTGAAACAATGACGGAGGGTGGTGCAGCCCTGTGCTGGGAAGGGCGGGTTCCCCGGGTGATCAGGCCTAAGAAAGAATATGTAAAATCCTGTAAAACCTGCTTTGTTTAGAATGCCCTCAATGAAATGATAAGGGTCCAAGCAAGAAGTAAGTTTGTTCCTCAAAGTTTTATAGCTCTTTAGCTATCTGACCCTGACTCAAAATAGGCCCTCAGAGTTCTTTGTTATCTATTGTTTGATCCTTACTTCCTGGCAGTGATTAATGAGCGTTACCCGAATTCCTGTGTAAAGGAACCCAATAAAAGCCTGCTCGGGCGGGAGAACGGGTCGCTCTCCCCTAGGGAGGGTGGCCATGGCGCTCCCCACTAGAGAGAGTGGTCGTTCCATCCCTATTTCCCCACAGGACCTGGTTGTCTCTGTGTATGTTTTTCTCATGTTTCGCCGAGCCATCCACAGCGTTCCGTGGTCACTGCAGGCCGGTGGCCGCGTCACATGGGGGATACAGAAATGGCACAGCCTCCATTCTCAAGGAGCTCACAGTCCCCTCCAGGAGACACACAGTTACAATACAATCGATATGTATTACAGCTCAGATGAGAGCTAGAAGGGTGGTCACGGAAGAAGCCTTCCATGAAAGCACGGGCTCTATCAGAGCAAGGACTGGTACAACAGGTCTTCTGCTCAAGTTGCCAAGGACGGTTAGATGAACATGTGTAATTGCTCTCTGCCTTCCGCAAATTCATACACAGGTGAATGAATTTGATTCAGTTCAACAAATCTCTCATAGACAATCTTACTGCCCAAGGCATTGTGCTCTGAACTGGGAGTGTGCAGGTGGAAAAGGGGCACCTCAAGGCTCTTAATGACCTTCCATAATACTTTTCCTGGCAAATGCAAACTTCTATAAAGAGATGTTTCAATAAATGGGGCGAATTGTAGGGGTAGGCAAGCTCCTGTGACAATGAGATGGTGAAGGGGGTGGGGGCTCTAAGGTCTCTCACCACAGGCCTCCTGGAATGAACTTGTTGAATTGAAGTGTGGCTACTTGTAGTAGATAAATGACAGTCACAGACAGCTTCCAGTCAAAGGAATAGTACAGTCAAATTGGTATTTATTGATAGGATGGAGGAAGGAAAGCCAAAATCAATGACATGGGCAAGGAGGCTGAATTAAGAATGCAAAGCGTGGAGTAGGCGTTTGGTGTGTAGAATGTGGCAGCCGTGCAAGTACTCAGGGACAGGGTGCAGCGTGAAAGGAGTATCGATGGAAGGCACCCTGTGAAACACTCTTTCAGCATCTGGCAGAGAAAAAGCAGCCCTGGAAGGACCCCTAGAGAGGAGCCAGAGGAGGACTAGGAGAGGCTGGTGTACTGGGAGTCCAAACGAGCGAAGAGAAGGCAGAGACAAGGAGGATCAGGAAGCAGGGAGCAGTCGTGTCCAGGGCTGTACAGAGAGGTCCAAAAAGCCTCCACGTGATCGGCAATACGGGACCTTTAGCCAGAGCAGTTTCTGTGTAAGGGGCGCGGGTGGGAGTTTCACAACAATAAACGAGTGAATGAGGGAGTAGAAAAAGTGAGGGTGAGGACGAAAATGAATGAATAAGTCAAGCGCTGTGCCCTCACTTGCCTTGGGAAATTCCAGAGTCAACGTCGGGAGATGGTGCGGAGGAAGGGCCTTCCAGACGGGGCTCTGGATGCCACCTAGGAAACCTGATAGCCTGGAAGCCCTCAGGTAGGCGCGGCTCCAAGGTCAGGGTCACCTCGGGCCTCTCAGCAACCCGTCACCTTGACGACCGACTCCAAAAACTGTGACGGGCGGAAGCAGTCAGATCATCTCGCGATATCTGGCAGGCCGGCGCCGGTCTTCTGGGCCTGGGAACCGCGGCCCGCTCTCGCGAGTCTTGCCTGGAGTCGGAGCGCGGGGCCAGGTCGTCAGGAAAGCTGTAGTTTAGGGCGAGAAACATGTCGGATTCAGAGCTCGGCAGGAAGTGGGACCGGTGCTTGGCGGATACGGTCGTCAAGATAGGTAAGAGGCTCCTCGCCCCTGGCAGCCCCGGTCCGGAGCCGATGAGCCAGCTCTGGGCTCCGCTGACCCGGAGGGCGGAAGGGAAGCTCCGCGAGAGGTCAGGCCGCCCGGCCTGTTCCTGTCCCTTAGGCCAGGGCCAGGTGCCGAGCCCGGGCTGGAGGTCACTCGGGCGGTGGGGGACGCGGGCCGGAGGAGCCTGGGCCGCGCCGAGTGGGAGGAGTGGAGTTGCGGCCCCGAGGAGGTGGGGGGATTGGGCTGGCAGGTGGCACAACCGCGTGCCAGAGGCTCGAAATCCTCCCTGCGGCCACATCTCCGGCGCGGGGAGTGGAGCCTGGTCCGGAGGCCACGGCCCACCCCAGCTGAAGCTGAAGTGCCTTCTGAAGAAGGTCATCGGGAGCATTTTATAACACCGCCAGACCCTGACGTGGTGAGTTGCTGTCATTCCCGAGCTGTAACCTGATTTATCCGGGCCTGAAACCGGAGACTCAGTGATGGTGAGCTGGAATGAGGATTGCCCTGGAAAGGAAGACATTGGTCACTTTGTAGTCCTTAGTGTAACTGTAGCCTTTTCACATGTGCTCGGGGACGACACGCAGTACCAAGAGGGAACTCCTTTACGGAGCGAACGCAAGTGCCAGACACTGTGCTGGGTGCGCAACTTCATTCATTACCCCATGCGGGTCACGAAATTGAGAGTCTGGTGGAGGGCTCTGCCCGGGGTCTAATAAATGGCAAAAGTGGGTATTTATCCCAGGCTTTCTGGCTTCAGGTCCCATGCTCGCTCTTCCACACTCGTTTTTATCATACAAATTTGATATTTTTGTGTGGAAATCTTAAAGAGTACTTAAGAGGATTGTCCTTGAGTGACAGTCTAGGAAAAGAAATGAGATTGTAAGTTCCATGACAGCAGGGATGTTTTTGGTTTATTCACTGCTGTATCCCCAACCCCTGGAAGACTGCTTGATAAAAGTTGTTAAGAGTGGATAAATGAAGTAATGTATCTCAGGTATTCAATACCACTTCACCCTTGAATTCACTACTGATCAGCGGTGTGATTTGGGGCAAGTTATTTAACTTCTCCATGCCTGTTTCCTCATTTTTAAATGGGCGATAAAAATGATTACTATCTCACAGACTTGTTGTGAAGATGAAATGAGTTAGTTTTATGTAAATGCTTGAGTAGGACTCATTTACTAAGAGTGGATTATCTTGGAAGTGACCAAAGAAATACACAATTTTTGTTATTCTTAACAGCTTACATTTTGGAGAGAAGATTTAGCACCTAGATATGAAGTGACCAAAGTAATTACTACCCAGTATGATGTAGTAGTTAAGAATGGGCGGTAGATAGAGCTGAGTTTGAATCATCCACTCTTACTCGTCACCCCCACGCTCAGTAGTTGTGTTGCTTTGAGTAAAGTCGATTAAATGGGGACAAAGAGACGGGTTTACCTAAAAGGATTATGAAGAGTGAAGGTCAGAAAAACACGTAAGATTCTTAGCGAAGTGCCTGGCACTGAGCATGTAGTGGATGGCGGTGGTGATTGCTGGTGGAAGAATTGTGTAGCCAGTGACCATCGCGTGAGGCGGCGTGCAGTGCCGGCATTTGTGAGTGCGACAGTGGTTGGGGGTGTGGCGTACACAGGTAAAACGGATGAGGCGCGGTGATGTACGACTACAGATAAAAATTAAAATGAATGATTCTGACTCTTTTTACGGTAGCACTATTATAAATCACGTGAGTGGAGTGATGGGCTAAGGTCATCCAGTAAGAGTTTGCACGGGGAGTGGGCCCGTTAGCTGACCTGTGGAGAAGGACTTGGAGGCGGATGGTCGGGGAGGGCGGGGAACTTGAGCAGAGGCCTAGCGGAACTTACAAGCAGGAGGAGGTTGAAGCCCGGAAAGGTGAAGCGGCCGCAAGCGGAGGAGCTGGGTTAGAACCCAGGCATTGTCATCTCGGCGCCCCTGTTCCTCAGGGATGGAGGTTTGGGTGAAGTCAGGACTGTGACGTGTCTTGGAGAGGTTCCACTTTGACTTGAAGGCTTTTTTACATGCATTCTGTGGATTCAAGGCCCCTGTTTTAGATTAAAGCCATTGCTTGATGCTTCCAGGGCTCGTTGCACGTAGGCCGGTGGGGAACCGTGGGACGGTTTTAAATGACAAATATTCATTGAGCTCTGGGCCAGCCGTGGGCAAACAGAGAAGCAGAAGGCATGTCACTGCCCTCCACAGGGAGTCGATGTGATAGAATGGGATTTTCGTATTGTTCTGGCAGTGTTTTATACAGAACAGATTTGGAGTAGAGGAGGCAAGCAGCACTGTAATTGTGAAGCAATAGAAGTCTGAACTGCTAGGCCGGAAAGAAATATTCGAGAAACTCCAAACTTTTCCCCCATTTATAAAATGAAAATTGTGTAACCCACTTCTTAGACCAGCACAGTGGCAAGGATGGAGTAGGAACTTGATAACTGATATTTTTTCTTATTTTCTCTCCAATTGGTTAACTTTACCTCGTCTTCATTCCTTATAAAGATGACTCCTGGCCCTGGGCAGGCAGCTCAGTTGGTTAGAGCTCTGACCCAGTGCGCCACGGTCGCGGGTTCAATGCCCCAGTCAGAGCACGTACAAGAGGCAACCAATGAATGCATAGGTGGGTGGAACAACAAGTCCATGTTGCTCTCTCTCTCTCTCTCTCTCTCTCTCCCCCTTCCTCTCTCTCTAAAAATTAAAAAATATATTTTTAAAAATGACTGCAAGGTTAGAACTTGGGTAAGTGGTAACATTATTGATCAGAATTTCGAAGTAAAACAGGAGTGGGGTATGTGTACCTCACTTACACCAAGTAACACATAAGACTTAGTAACTGGTTACATTTAGCAGGAGAGAGAGACAGTAGGGAGAAAACAAGGTCATGATTTTGGTTGCTTTTCTAAAGCTTACATCGTTGAATTTGAGAGCGATAACGGAGAAGTTGAAAGCGGGGAGCTGAGTTCAGATTTTGAGGCGGTTGTCCCTTTAGTGATGGTCTTAGACACGGGGCATAAGAGGGACGAGGCATGGAGTTGGACTTTGGGAGGCTTTATTTAGCCTGAGTGGTCCTTGAGACTGTGGGGAGGGGGGGACCCTTTTCTGCGGTGAGCGTGCTAGCTCCTGCTCTTACAGGCAGTGAGAACTCTTCAAACCTCTTTGGAGGCGTGCTTTTCTCATACTTTGGGGTGGAAATGGACTCGGAATGGCAGCCTGTCAGAAGACGGGGGTGTTTAGAAGAGTCAGGCAGGGAAGAAGGGCCAGTGTACGTGTCAGTTACCTATTGATACTTTTACACTCTCTGCCCTGACAGAGACCAAAGGGCAGCCACGATGAGTGGACAGCTCCCTTTGTGAGCATGTCTCTGTTTGGCTAAAGCCTTTTTGGTTTTGCCCTACTGGTTTGCTTGGGGCAGGGGGACTACTTTAATTGTTCATGTTTGGCCTAGGTGTTGCACAGATGCGTTAGATAGCCCTTGTAAACATGTACCTTAGGCATTGTTTCCTTTCTTTTTTTTAAAAGATTTTATTTATTTTTAGAGAGAGGGGAAGGAAGGAAGAAAGAGAGGGAGAGAAACATTAATGTGTGGTTGCCTCTCATGTGCCCCGTACTGGGGACCTGGCCTGCGACCCAGGCATGTGCCCTGACTGGGAATTGAACCGGCGACCCTTTGGTCACTTGCTTAATTCACATGTTCGATCATGTGTCCTTATGCTTTTGGGACTTTTATCAGCTTTTTATTTCACCTGGGGATGTAAATTACTGTCAGTAGCTCTTAATGTTAAAGAAGTGTTAGAAATGTTTGGAAGTAGTCAACCAGGAAACATGAACCAGAGAGCACTTTTATTTTCAAACAAGGAGAGAGTGATGCTTTAAATGCTAGTGCCAGCGCCTTACTGCAGGAAATGAAAAAGGGATGAAAAATATTACATTTCACGAATGTCATGTTCTGTTAGTTTTATGTGAATGCGTCATTAATGGCTTTTGATGACTTTATGGATTTATTTTTAAGTTTGTTATCAGATTTATTGGATGCTCTGGTTTTCTTTCCGCACTCACTTCAAGGCCTGTGCCGTTTATTTTCCTTGTAGTGCTGAGTAATTCATCTTGTACGCACCCACATACATCACACATTCTTGTTACTGAGAGCAGGAGGCATAGGCTCCTGCCAGTATAGACTGGATGGGAGGTTCTGTATGTTCCGTCTCCAGGGAAAGTCATTCCAGATGAGAAAGCCATAGACACGAGGCCTGTGGAGGCGCCTCCCTGTGGCTTGAGCATCCCTAAGCCCCGCACATGTGGGTCATGGAAGCACTGCCCCTGCCTCGGGGTCCTGTTGCGACTCCCTCCTGAGTGCTGAAGGCCAGTACCGGGGGCCCGATCTCATGACCGAGGGAGTGTGTGTGTGACAAAGGCCAGGGCCTCAGGGCTGCAGATTTGCCAAGACTTCGCGGAAAACCTGATCCCAGCACTTCCTGGGCTCCTGCGGAGGTCCTGGGAATCCCTAGTGTGACTTGAAAAGCTGTGAAATTGGTGGTGTCCCTCTTCCCTGCATTTCACTCCCACTGTGAGAGGAGGATAGGGGATATCTAGTGTTCCTAGTCCATGCATTGGCCAGGAAATCTGAAATGGTTGGGGGAGGGGTAGGCCAAGGCTGCTGATGCTTTTCTGAAAAGGCTGTTTTTGCAAGACTGGTATATTAAGCACTACGGTGTTTTTCATTTTCTTGGTGACAAGGAAGACTGCAAGCTGCGGGCATTTGTAAGCAGCCCCTAGAATGTATTCCATTCAGCAGGCCACGGTAGCATTCATGTGCCTTTGCTTTTCTTTTGCCCATTTTTCCCCATTAGAAATAAATGCAGTTCCAATAAGCACCTCTCTGTGCCTTTTCCTCGCGTCTATAAAATAGTAGTACCTGCCTCAGAGGGTTGTTGTAAGTAAGGAAATGAAATAATCTCTGTAGAGCAATTAGG